AATCTTCATCATATTATAAATTGGATTTTGAAACTGAACATCTTCATCTCCCTACATTTTAATTATCGCATAGAAAATTTTTATAAGTTGTTGAATCCATCTCATAATTTTCTTAACGAAGTAGTTCATTTTTGTCAATAGAATGGGTTTGCTTTACTTTAAAAAAAATTATAAAAATGAAGCACATTTATTTGAAAAAAAATGATGTCAAATTTAGAAAGATACACAAAGTGTATTAAAAATTAAAAGATACACAATGACACCAAATTTAGAAAGATACACAAATGTATCAAAAATTAAAAGATGCATAAAGTGCACCAAAAAACTGACAAAATGCACAAAACGAGCCTATAAAAAGTAATCTTATCTTTCTTGAATTTCTTAAATATTAAGAAAACTTTTTTATCTATTGATATTTTTATACTTGAGTTTGAAGTTCATGATTCTTGATTCACCAATTTTTGCATTAATCTTATATTAGATTTATTTCATGAAAGGAGTTTTGAAAATATTACTTTTTCATTTTCTATATTATTCATTGATTTAGATATTAGCTTAAAAAGTTTTTTATTCTTTAAAAGAACTTAAGCTTGGATTAACAAATTCTGAATTTCTAACCTTTTTGGGTTATGCATTGTCAATGCATTCCTTACTAAGTTTTTAAATAAATTTAAGAGGTAACTTTCTCATTTTAAGAAAATTTGAAATTTCAAATTGATTATTCTAAAAAACCCATCTTCACCAGATCAGGGATCGTTTGATGTTTTATTAGTCAACTATTTCGATTTTATGTTCTCCTCTTCTTCTTGATAATTTCAAAGGAGGAGAACGTATTGTTATTTTTGTGTATCTATTTTAGTTTATCTTTAACTAATTATTTGTTTTATTTTACTTGTTTTATTTTCAAAAAATAATAAAAATTAAAAAGAAAGAAGATTTATTTTTCCCCTTATTTTAAAATTTTTATCTTAGTGAGGGAGAGTTTAAAAGAAAATATTTTTATTTTGCAACTTCGTTAGTAATGTTTGCCATCATAAAAAATGGAAAGATTGTTACTACTCGAGCTCATGAGTTTTATATTTTTGAAGATAATAAACATCTTTATATATCATAGTATTTTTCATCTATATTTATTTGTGTGTACTAACATTTCAAGAATATCATTTAACGTCAAACAAATAATCAGAGCTCAAGATTGAGTTGAATAAGATTATGTTGTAAAGGGTTTGTAATATTTATTGTTATAATTGTTAAGATAGTTGCTATTTGCATTCTTTACATTTTTGCAACTTATGTAGTTTTGATGATTCGGATTCAAAGATTATTGTTCAAAATGTATAGTTATCTCCTAACATTTTTTAGAAGAATTGATTTGCTCTTGTATGTACTAACATTTCAGGAAAAACAAACTCCAGACTACGAAGACTTCAAATTAAATTCAGCATGAGATACATTATAAAATTTGAAGCTTGCACTTTTCTTTAAAATCAAATTGAAAGAGAGTGATTGTAATTTGAGGAATAAAACATACACACATATAAGGAGATCATATAAAATGTTTATACAGATCGTACTGGACGATATTCTTCGTTCGTACAGACGATCAGACAGTTATCTCTATAGAGCATATGAGACGATAGGAACTTGCTCGAAAATTTTTCTAAGTCGTATTCGTCCAGGACGAAATTAATTATCGTCACAAGACGATTGGTTCACTGGGGAGTGGAGTAGTCTGGTTTAAGACCGAACCACTATAATCTGGTGTATTACTTTACGTTTTTACGTTTTCGCACTTTAAATTTAGTTTTAAAAATCTGTGGTTGAAAATATTTTTTTCTAGAAAAACTTAATTTTCAAAAGGGACTTAAATGTTTTATTTTCGGTTCAAAACTAATTTCAAAAAGGGGACTTAATATTTTTAAAGTACCAATTCACTCCCCCCCCCCCGCTCTTGTAGCCTTGGGCATTCACTGGTTTAAGCAACCTAATTACA